CATTTGACAACAGAACAGATAGTGCCCCGTAGTTGAGGAATCACCGGGCCATTATCATTTGCAGCGGCCCGCTCATTTCTGATAACTAGAGGGCGGTTTCATGATAATTCCGTCCATTTTATCTGTAACACTATAATTTATTCATCATTGTCAGATTTAGTCAGTGTGCACATAATAAACGTGTTGAGGTTTGAAAGGGAACTACTTTTTCTGGCGATGGTGTAAGTTCAAGGAGTGATATGATTTACCTTTGACCTATAAACACTCTGACTTGGTTTAATTAATGAATTTCTTTCACGAATCAGCAGCCTAAAACGAGTTGAATTAGAATGGGGATAATTGTACTGTGTTTGACGAATTGGGGACGTATACCGGTGGTTATATAGCTGCAAATTTAACGTTATATCGGTCCGCTTACGCGTCGCCGCGATATAACTAAATTTGCGGCTATATAACCACCGGTATACGTCCCCAATTCGTCAAACACAGTACAGTTATCCCCTAAATATAAAATGATCACAAAGTGTTTGACAAACCTCGTGTCATTCTACTGTGTGTGGTGCAAGGATCAACAAAGAGACTAAAACATATCACCGCAACCTCTCCCTGTGCTCTATTGGCTACAAAAAGGCATACGACTCTGTCCCTCATGAATGGATTCTAAAGTCTCTTGATTGTATTGAACTCCCTGAAGGACTACATCATTTACTCAAGTTTTTAATGAGTTGCTGGTCGACTCGACTTGAGATATACTCGCAAGGGCAGGTGCAGATATCGGAATCTATTCCAGTCTTTGCTTTTTTGTCTGTCGTTGAATCATTTGAGCTTTCTGCTCAATAAAGAGGAAGGTTGCCACCCCGGCTTTCCACAGCACAGATCCACAACAAGGCTTAAGCATCTCCTTTACGTGGATGACATAGAGTTCCTTGTCGAAAGAGACGCCAATTTGAAAGAACAGGTTCCCCTTGTCGCGTCCATTTCTATGGATGTAGGTATGGCATTTCGTAGGGGCAGAATGTGTAATGAGCATCTTGTGGAAGGTCAGGCCTACACCTATCTTGGAAAGCAATGAGGATCTTACAATGAATTTAATGAGACTATCCCCAGATTGTCAGTGGATTCCCATCATTGGCACCAATACAGAGTCTTAAACGACGTGAAGGTGTTGCGCTATCCTTTGATTGTCGTCTTGGCCATAGCTGCGGTTTGATTCAGAAGTTCATCCATGGTACGACCCAATAATTGTACAGGCCGTCCTGGAAAATGGTCATTGTAAATTTGTTTGGAATAGCTTCAGGCATCCAAACCTGACCTTGTGGTTTTGATAAATGCAATAAATCATGTATATCACTGAATTATCTGTCCCATTTAATAATAATGTTAGCCAGCCAAAACATGTCAATATGCGGACCTCGCATGTTAAACATTTACACCATGTCGTCTGACCCCCCTATGTTCTTGGTGACTTAGGTTTGGTACCTCCCCAATCTGTTGACTGACACTGGGGAGTACCAGTTCTTACTGCCACAGTCCATCTAGCACTTTTGGTATCGCAGAAGGTTGCAGTGTTGTTTAGTCTTTACTGTCTGTTTACTGTTTTGTTGGGTTAGACAAGGCAACGCTTCCTGGTAAAATGTCCATTCGCCCTCTGGACTGCGTGTAAAGAGGTCAAGGGCCTTGAGCTGATTACGAACTTAACGAACCTCGTTGTACCAATATATCCTAAACCGTCTTTGCTGCATTTATTTTACTTTAATTAGCATGTCAATATTTTTATAGGAATCGTTGAAGAAGCGATTATTCCGCACGAGGTTGAGGCTCGCAATAAGAACGGCATTCAATATTATTCATATCAGTAGTCGTTTTAAGAAAATGACTTGCTTACTTATCACCTCTGAATGTATCAATTCTGTATCGGATGTCGTGACAGTACCTGCTATATCTATTTTTGACTTTTTAAACAGATACGTTTTGTACTGCTCTTTGAACAAGAACAGAGGTTTGATGTCTCTCATTGATTCTGAAAGTTCATTCCATTATCCGGCAGCCGCCAATTCAAAAGATGTTGAACTACCTGATGTTACTTTCCACTATGTTATTTTCCAATAGTTGTTTGTTGCTGGCATCTCTTGGACTGATGTTTGCAGACTAACTCAGTCCATGTCTGAGCTGGTAACTGAGATCCACAGCCGTTTTTATACTGTACAGTGTATCATGATTTAATGCTTTACTTTTCTATTTTTATCTTTTTATAACAATAGGTACTGCTTTGATTTGTGCTAGTGATCTTGCTAGTTGGGTCGATGTTGCGTCTTGGGTATGCAAGGCTGCGAGATATGCTTCTTCATGATCATCTTTCTTCGGAGGAAACCTCAAAACATTTTCATTGAACTTGGGAAATGAGACTGATTGAATTTCGTCTGTCATTGGGTTGTTGTGGTAAACTCGGACTAATGGTAAGGACTGTAGAATGCCATACCTGGAAGAGACTGGTAGAGACTGTACCATGTCGTCCTTTATAACATTTGCATGTTGCTGTGGTAAACGCGGACTGTGGAATGACTGTACGTGTCATACTGGCAGCAATGGCATGTCGCTGTGGTAAACTCGGAGGAAGGCAATGACTGTACCGCGTCCTACTTACACCACTGGCATGTCGCTGTGGTAAACTCGGAGGAAGGCAATGACTGTACCGCGTCCTACTTACAACACTGGGATGTCGATATGTTCCAGCTATATGGCGGCGGTCTGTAAATAATCGAGTCTGGACAAGACAATCCAGTGATCAACGGCATCAGCATCGATCTACGCAATTGGGATACGATGACATGTGTCAACCAAGTCAGCGAGAATGACCACCCGATCATGGTAGTCGCCTCTTACGACAAGCATGGGTTACTGAAGTGATCTAGTATCTGTTTCCCTCTCAAATACGTAAGGATTATTAGTGGGGTGACATTACTGTCTGTGCACTTCCTCAAAACCTTAATATTCAATATATAGAAAACTATATAGAAATCTCTTAACAGGACGTGCATATAGATAATCTATAGGCACAAAGACGCAAACCATAAACCAATCTGTCAATATAACTCAGTCTCGTTAAATAGTCACGTATATTCATAAATCCACATGACTTTTGTAGGAGATGGATGATGACAGGTAGTCTGTTCTACCAACTTTTGTTTGAAATAAACAGCTTTGAGCGCTTTTGAGTACCCACCTAGTTGTTGGATTTAGCGCTATATAAATGTTATTATTATTATCATTAAATGGGTCTCAAACAAGAAAACCTACAACTAAATACATTTTCCAGTTCCACACAAGAACCAAAGCTAATTAGATTGTTCTCATTCTGCTTACCAACCGGGTTGAGTTTTCGCGATACCATATTACGTCATCCATTATACCCTCGCGTCATGGGTTTCCGCGGTATTAAGAAATTTATAACTATAAATACGATCGCTGATATTGTCAAGTCATATAAACATAACCTAGAGTTAGACGACATACCTTTGTATCATTTAATGTCAATAAAACACGTTTGTCATTCTGAAGTTCATCGTTGTCTGTATCGGACAACAGGCGGCCACTGTGCACAATCACGTGATGTGTTCTGGTGACGTCATATGTTTCCGTGGTATTCCCTACAGATCAACTTACTGGAGGACAACACATGTCACAACCTCACACGTTATCAACAGCCAATCCGGAATGTCAATGTAGGTTTACAGTAATAACAAAGTTGATAAACTGTAATACAGTCAATGATTTTATAGAATTAACAGAATAGTCACATTTCTTCAGCCTAAATTTCCAGTTCACAAAATATGTAGAGTTGATCAACGGAATACGTGAAATGAAAAGTGAAAAAACGACTTAAGAGATGATCCTATCGGGCTTCCAAGTTTAAAAAAATAGAGCATGGATTCCCCCCTTAGGTCACGTGATTTTTTTCATATATTACATCAGCTAGCAGACGAGCGATGTTTGGAAAACTTTGAAGCTAAATAAGTTTATAGAAAATGTTTGTAAAGATCGCACAAAAAGTACATAACGCGCTAGACATAAAGTTGCATTAGTTTTTAATAGTCGATGACTGTACGTACGCAAATTGATGAAAGTTTGAAAATTTTTTGCTCTCAGCCGTGATAATCGACTGATGAACGTAAACAATCGATAGGTGGGGCGATTTGGTGAGTGGCTCGTGAGAAATTATGTCATTAGAAAATACCACGGAAACGTAAGTACCACGGAATCATATAACGGCATCATAAGGGCACAGCATTGCAACATGACATCATAGCCTTAAACAGTGGCATTATGGTTGTAAAGCAATCATATTGATAAGCTATGGAACATCACTGATGGCACGTATAAAATTCGGTACCTCTGGCTTATTATTGTTGAAACCGAATACTCAGTAACACATGCAAATGTTGATCTTTTTTATTGATCTTGGTTCCTAATCTTTAACCACCATCATTTGCCAATTCCAATTTGCCAATGGCTCTGACATTAAATACAACTCGAATGCAAAAATGTTTAAAGTCTGAAGCGGTTATTATGCAGGAGGTAATATCTAAGCCCCAATATGTTTAAAATCTGCCTACATCTATTTCTTGAATGACTACACTAAAACTGTAATACAATCATGTATAATAAAACTGTGTATGCTATGCACAATGCTGGAGTTATTTATAGTTTAACACCCTGATACCAAGAATGCATACACCAATATACTTAGCATCCACTCATGTTCGTTTTAAATATTACATCGAGCTGTTATCAATGGCGTCTACTGTAATTAATTATATTTTCTAGGATAACTATTCAAAATAGGACATACATACAGATGCTGGTATTTTATAGCTATTGTCTAAAACACTTTTTTTAAATTATAAAAATAGTCACTTTCAATTATAGCGGAGATGTCCTTTTGACAGTGACAAAACACGAATAATTAAATATGGACGGTTATGTAATTGAAAGTCACCAACCTGACTGCATGGTAAATATGATAAAGGCGCTGGTGAGGATCCACGTCGCATCGTCCCAAGTGATGGGGCCGTTGGCAACGACACCCGAAGGAGACAAGGTAGTCGTGAATGGCCTAGTTGTGTTGCTCATTTTGGAACCCACTGTTTTCACGCGGCGGCAACATTTATCCGAATACCATTGACAGTCATCGTCAAGTTAGGTGCTACAGCTGAAGCGTTTGTCGTGATCGGGCGGTCTATCCCAGTCGGTGACAAGGAACGTGAAGAACGATCGATAAACTCACCAGCGCTCTGCCTTGCGCTGTTATCATGACTAACAAACCAGAGCGGGTTCTGTTTAGTCACGAGGTTACGTATTAACAGCAATGTCACTTACTGTACGCGTGTGTTTAAGGAAGGATAGGTTATAGATAATATTTTCTATATTACAGTGAAAGCAACGTTTCGGTGTATGGTGTAACACCGTTCTCACCAGGTATTTTGTTTAGTTATTGTTTAACGCCTCACTCAGCAATATTCCAACTATATGACGGTGGTCTGTAAATAATCCAGTCTGGACCAGACAATCCACTGATCAACATCATAAGCATCAATGTACGAAATGTGGATACGATGACATGCATCAACCAAATCTGACCACCCGGTCCCTTTAGTCGCCTCTTTCGACAAGCATTGGTTGCATAATGTCACTTACTGTTTTGTTGGGTTAGACCCGCATCCTCGCGAGTGATCGAGACACAAAGTATATATGAGGAAGTGTGGTTCAATCACCTACTTATTCTCAGCAGGGAATACAATTTGTTTTCTATTATGTTGCATTTTCTTTCAAAACTTGTATGTTCTTAGATACACAGTTGAAATTGTGTGTGTGGCGCCTGTGTAACGGCTTTCAATATTATTAGCACATCTACTGCAATGCGGCATCAACTGAAGATAATGATCGAGAGCTTTTTGTTTTTGCACACCTAACCGAAGATACTATGAACATAGTAATTACCCTACATTGTGTGTGTACAGTCAAGAAGTAGAACTTCAAGGCGGCTGCATCCTATTTCAATGGAGACACCAGTCATACAACAATGCAATGCAGGTCTTCTGAAAAAGATGGTCCGCAAACAAGAGCGATAGTCGTTTTTTCAATAATGGCGTTACTTATTCCAGTTTTGCGTGGTCTCTGGTCACTTTCTTAGTCATATAACCTTGTGAGTACGGACACGCTTAAATATTCAAAGTAAATGTTCTAAAGTATCTACATTTATGATAAATGCATGCCTACTATTCCACACATAAGTATGACATCATTCACGTCATGACGAGTGAGTGAGGGGGTTTTACGTTGCTTTTAGCAATATTCCAGCAACACCACGGCGGGGAACTCCAGAAATGGTCTTCACACATTGTACCCATGTGGGGAATCGAACCCGGGCCTTCGGCGTGACCTGCAAACGCTTTAACCACGAGTCTACCCCACTGCCCCCACGTCATTACGAAGCGCAAGAAGTAATCACATACTCTTGAACGTTGTGCTCCTCATAACAGAGGGGTTTGCATGCATAAAGTATCTCTTTAATGAGTAATAAAGGCAGATTGGTACAAACGTTATGAGTGAATGTCATGTCCTATGCAAAGGTAAAAACATGCAGGCAATACATTCTCAAATGAAATACATGTTTCAGCAAGTTGATTGAACCCATTCCCTGGCGACGATCATAACTTAATGACTATTTACATGAACTTCACTACCGGGGAAACATCCTTTGACAGTCAAAATACTCTATGCACTGTTGGTCCAGCTTTGTTAGATTTATCCTCTACACTGAGGTGGAATCCAGTTAATTACCAATCGATGGGTTAAGTGTATAATGCAACATCAATAATTCAAACAAAGCACGAATGCAGTACATTCACCTCACTATAGGTAGTTCCTGTCCTCTGTAATGACAACCCAGATGTACATAAATATGCAATATTTACGCCCTTGTATTCTATTATAAACATCAAATTCAGAATATACAATAACAACAATTGATAGAATTGTTTTAAAAGTGGATAAGCTACTGGATTAAACATTGTTCCTTATAGGATAACTCTCGCCCTTGGTCCATGTTAGTATTTTTCCAGGAATCATTGTCCTGATATATTGTAAACAACATGGATGTACACTGAACAGAATGGTTCATTATGGGTGATATTGGTTTGAAATCGCGTGCTCAGCTTTCATCAGATATATTCATGATTTGTGACTAAATCCTTAGTGATGAGTTAGCGTGGATTCTATTGCTGAGGTATGCTAATGAGATCGTTTTACACAGCAGTTGTCACATGTCACAGCCAACATTTCCCATGAGTGTCGTTTCAAGCCGTTTTATGGTTAACGCTTGCATTCGACATGTGTGGGATTAATCTACCTATTATTTGCTTCGACGAGATCAATCTTATATACAAGCTTAGTAACGCTTCAACGATGATGGTATTGAATACGTCGAAGGAAATCTTATATCGATTAAGTATCTCATTAATAAGCATTATGAGAAATGAACTGGACATTCATCGAAGGGACTGTTATGAATGCAAACTAGCAATCAATCAATCATCTTTTTATTATCGTCTCACTTGTGTACATGTTACACTTCATAAGATATGTACAAAAAACACAAACAATCGCCCAGCGATTTACGAGAGACATATAAATACTAAAATATTATAAGAGTATGACATAAACGTATCTAACTTGATAAACATGAGGTAACACATTAAAATATACACATAACCAATAAGAATAACAGTTTAGGTATATATAATACTAGCATCCCAACCCAATAATGCCATATCTAGCCATTATCTGCTTTCTGGTCGAGGATTGAAACCTGTTTCCAGTTAGATCACAGGACGAAAAGGAGACAGATAAGATGTCGATCGGGAGGGTATATTAATGCTGATAAATTTTCGAATATCGATATAATGATTTTCACATTATTTACCTAATCTAACGAGAAAAAGGAAATGTATTCTTGCTGACTGTACGTGCAACAACATACGCACCATGTGTGTCCTTGTTAGGGGTTATTCCCACTTCTCCGGCAGGCTGAAGGGGTTAAGAGTTATGGGTGAATGGTTGTGCAAAGTTTGTAGACCCCTATAAAAAAATATCCACCCTCGTCCAGCCGGCTAGGGGAGTAGTGGACACCATTCACCATATCCGGCACGCGGATATGGCTGCAGTGTTTATCCTACCAACATGATGAGGTGAATATGGTTCACATGTCATGATTTTGACACCTAGTGAACATATCTCGATGCAGTGTCGCATTTAACCGGGTACTAGTGATCTAGAATTAATGTACAAATGTATTGTATGCAACATGTGCAATAATTGCATGTAACTGTGTATTTATAAGTGCTATGCAATATGAAAAATGAATAAAGATATGTGCAATAGATGTATGCATGTAAAAGTGCTCATGAAATGTGTAAAATAATTGTGTAACAGAGTGAGATTATTTTCCTTTTTGTACTTAAAGTCATCATTAAATATTGAGTAACCAAATGTTCTCTGACCGGCTTGGGTGACCAAATATCACAGACCGACAGGGGAGCAAAATAAGAAGTTCACCTTTTGTTCTCAGGGATTATCGCGTTCCACTGATCTAGAACCTTTAAACGATAGGTGCCGGACAAGTGGGAGAACCCCCTTGTTAGCATTCATTTTAACAACCCGTCGACGGTTAGGTGGGTTTTTAATCATGCATGAAAAAGTCCGCACAAACCGTCAACGCATGTACAGCACCGAGTAAAAAAGGCGTCATTCATGTATGTTTACATTAGAGAGCTGAGCTGGATATCGGCGGTATACAAATGTTAGCATAATGTTAATAATAATACAAAAGCTCGTGTATCAGGTGAGTTACAAAATCCCTCATGTCTCTTCGTTATTTCGATTATTTTCATGATTTTCAACTACTTTCTCGTCTCGAGTGAGTGAGTGAGCTTTAGTTTTACGCTGCACAAAGCAATATTCTAGCTATATGGCGGCGGTCTGTAAATAATCGAATCTGGACAAGACAATCCAGTGATCAACAGCATGAGCATCGATCTGCGCAATTGGGAAGCGATGACATGTGTCAACCAAGTCAGCGAGCCTGACCACCCGATCCCGTTAGTCTCCTCTTTCGACAAGCATGGGTTACTGAAGGCTCATTCTAACCCGGACCTTCACGGGTTTCTCGTCTCGACATTCTACCCGTTACCTCAGTAATATTCTCGTTCTTCCAAGTTGAATTCAAAATCTCTAAACGTCGAGTGATTTCCTGCTACTTCGAATACATTTTGTTGATTTCACAATTCTTGAAAAATCTCAAAAGTTTCAGTATTTTTTCTTTACTTTAATATTTGTATGATTTCGATTATTTCGCGTCGGTAATCTATGATATGAATCTTTTCAGTGCTTCAAAGAATGCATGAAAACAAAATGTAGTTAAAACCTACAAAATGTATATCACATCGATACACTGAGGAGTGTATGCGTCAACATCCATACAAAGGAACGTTACCCCACACATCTGCAGCTGACAAGAACATTGTTCGATAACTCGTGTCATCAAGTGGACACTTGACTAGCCTTTCCTTTGTTCATAAAGTTTTTGCTCCAACATGACTTTTGTACCATACGTTGGCACTTATAACTGTCGTTGTCTACATCTCCTTCACAATGTCTCGTACAAATGTTTTAGGTTCAATTCGCTTCCATTGATTTACCAATCAGAACTTGATATACATTAGACAGGTGAGATTGTCTGACTTGTTTCAAAGGTGGTGGGGTAGCCTTGTGGTTAAAGCGTTCGCTCGTCACGCCGAAGACCCAGGTTCGATTCCCTACATAGGTACAATGTGTGAAGCCTATTTCGGGGGTCCTCCGTCGTGATATTGCTTGAATATTGCTAAAAGCGACGTAAAACTAAGCTAACACACCCACTCATTCACTTGTTTCATATTTAGATTCATTGTTACAAAATACTCTCCACACAGCCATATGACAAAACAGATGATTCCTACTTTCCATTGGTCACAATTCCCTCATGTTGAGCAATATTCCAAACACTCTAGCCATTGGTGTTTACATTTCTTATCTTTTAAGGTACAATCGAGTAAGCTCTTTTTACCAAGATATCAAAGAGCTTTGTGAGACTTTGCTCGAAAGTTGTAATTTGATCAATGTTATAACTTTCATGTATATATTTTCTTTCATTTTATTGCGATATTCGATAAGATTCAATAGCCATATGCAAACTTTAAGGCAAAACGGGGCTTCATTCACGGCCTCAACAGTGAGTGAGTAAGTGAGTTTAGTTTTATACCACACTCAGCAATATTCCAGCTATATGGCGGCGGTCTGTAAATAATCGAGTCTGGACCAGACAATCCAATGATCAACAGAATGAACATCGATCTATGCAATTGGGATGCGGTGACATGTGTCAACCAAGTCAGCGAGCCTGACCACCCGATCCCGTTAGTCGCCTCTTACGACAAGCATGGGTTACTGAAGATCAATTCTAACCCGGATCTTCACGGGTCACGGCCTCAACAGAATGAAGTGTGTATTTCTAATTGCATGGGAATATTTACATGCCGTTTTACATGGCATAAACTCCAAGCCATGACTCCGAAATCAGAAAAGGTATGAACTACATCTCAAAGATTACTTTGATCTCACTAATTAGAACAGTCAGTTGTATTGCCAAATAACGGCAACCACAATGCTTCCATCTTTCTGTATGTCTGTTTAGGTTGGGGAAACTGATACACCTTTATAACACCGAAATCTTCTCAGAACACGGGTAACTATCATTGTACAGAAATGTGTACATATAGACTGTCAATGTGCGAAATAGTTTCCAAATTTTGCTTGTAAGTCAGTCTAGATTTGCCTGAAAGTTACTAGCCCACAAATTATTTCACTAACCCAAAATTTGAATGAAGAAACTAAGTAAAAGATTACAAAAAAGGTAAATGTCACCATTTATCAGGCCATAATTTTGCATGATTTAAAAGTGTATTATGACTTAACAAGTCGGAGAGAGTGATATATTTACAAAATGACGCCATGAAAATTCACTAGCCAGTCGGGCTAGTGACTGTGGAGATTTACTGGCCGGATTGGATTTTTACTAATTTCGCACACTGCCTAAAAGTATATTTGGGGGTTCGTGAAGACGGTATCCCAGTCTTTTGTCGTGTACAGTCGCTTTAGTCAACAAATCGACTCAACTGGCAGTGTCAGACAGCAGGGCAGACGCCAGACCCTTGTGCTCCTGTATCGCCGCCATATAGCTGGTAAATTGCTGAGTTCGGCAACCAGCCATTATTGGAGAAAATACTCAAACAGTGCAATAACTATTTTCATTCGCGTTCTTATCCTCCAAGTCACTGAAACCGTACACCTTATCTGGCGATAAGTAAGCTATATTGTCATATACATCATCGTTGGTGTTGTAGTATATGCTTATAACTGTCCACAACTGTTCTGCTGAGCGGACCGAACGTCTTGCATCTGGCCCAATTGTTCTGGTTTCTGGTTTAAGTCCGGTTACATGCTGTGTGGTCCCTTGAACAGAAACTTTTCTTGCGGTAAAGTCGAGCAGAACCAAGTAAGCTTGGAATATTTTTTTTACAATCAGTACTTCAGAATGATCGACGTACTGTTTCTTTTAACAATGCGTAGTTCCATTTACTCTGAAGAATAGTGTCTGGCATAAGCTATTATGAATGCCTATTCAAAACCACTTCTGTTTAGATGACGCTAATCCCGAACCATGGTGATGATGTTGTCTGCATATATGTGAGTTGTGATGTATTGCTCTGTTTTCTATAAGAGAACAAAGGATCCTCTATTGTTCAGTTGTTATGGAGTTGTCCATTGTGTTGGCATGGCATAGGGTACTAAATCATTAAACATGCCATTTAAAACACTTTGTATTGTCATTCATTTTGCTAAAATATTTCAACTTTTTTTGTGAATTGCCCCTTTCATATATCGTTCGCTCTCTGCCGCCTGAGTAACAAATGAACCTTGAAATATAGTTAAGTATATGCTTGAATAAACATGATTCAACAAAGGAACGCATGGTCATAAACGGAAGCTCCAACTGCAATGTACTTAATATCATTTGAAGATGGTAAGAAGACGACAAGCTGCTGAAGCTGAGAAAGGGGAGAAAATAGGATGGGGATGAGTAAATATTTACTCAAGTGACTGAAAGTGAGACTGCTCTGTCCCAGATTGGCGAAATCAAAGAATGTATTCTTTTGACGAACCTGGTCTAGTTTCTTGGCTTTGTTAATGTGTCCACAATCAACTTGTCATAACAACCAAACAAGTGTAGTTACAGTTCATTTAGTGTAACACCTAATAGAGAACGGGTCAATGGGATTGCATAACTCTTAGGTTCTCGGTACTTTCAAGATATATATTGACTCAATGTGGAGATTCAAAATGTCGGTATAGGGTCTAGATCTAAAATGCCTGTTTGGAGACATATATGAAAAAACACCTTTTAGTTATTAATGATATTGCAAGTGTGATCGTATAGATAACCTCATCATATCGGCTTCATTGTGTTCATGTGATCGCATGCATATGTCAATGACATGTATAATTCGAATCATTCTATTTGCATAACCTAATATCATTATGTGCATACTTGATTGAATATACAGTAAACACAATATCGCTTAATCGGTTGATGTTTCCGCGTGGCAGTGCGATATCACTTCAAATGCAGATCTATAGTATCTGTTGGAATAGTTTCAAAAGCAAATAAGACAATAGTTGTCTGACACTGAAACAAATCCATTCCTGATCATGAACCGTGGAAAGCCATAGCATGGTAGGAAAATTAACACTACAGTGTATCTCTGTGTATTGTTACAAGATATGGTATTTAAATATTCATTGAAATGCGAACATGCATGTATATCTATGTGGGTGCTATGATATTTAGTCAGCATAAATCAATGCACTAGTTTGCATTTTGTATAAGTGCAATTTGACCCTTCGCTGGTTTCTTTTACATGTTCGATACGCTTATTAAAAGACTGAGTTTGAACTCCCGTGTTACAACAATAACAATGGGAAAACCTTTGTTCGTAAAAGCATAAACTATTCGACTGTTTGAAATTTGTACCACTGTACAAGTTGTGTCGCCAAATGGTACATGGTGGCATAGGAAACAAGTCGATTTCGATGTGTCCCCTCGTGAACGTCATGACAGAGGTTTTGGTATGTACACATTTGCTCTATTTTGGAAATCTAGTGAGTGTGATGTATTTTCCTCCTAAGCGACACGTCTCGCATCAGCTACAAAACAAGGGCAGGGTCCTATCCACAAAGCGTTTGTATCAATACGATATTCGTAAGACTATGATAAACTATATACTTACGTTTGCCCGTAATGCTACGAACGTTTTGTGGATCGAGACCCAGGCCCGCTGATCTGGATTCGAGTAAATATAAAGCGTTGCTTAATCTATTAGTTTTTAAAGATTTGACTTTCACTTTGTAAACATTGCATCTCGGAGGGATGGGACTATAACACCCAAGGCTAATACAAGCAACCAAACACCTACAGAATGTACGTCATAATATGTGACCTAATGGTGGACGCGACCCCTAGTTACCCACTTTGTGTTTGGTCATTGGAGGATGAACCGTTGAAATGTGAGAGCTCCGACGTTCATTCATTTAGGCCATGGTGAGTGAACCATGTGGGTTCATATTCCAATGAACTGACAGAAAGTGAAAGTCTGTTCTTATAAATGTCTTGTTTTGTACTTCGTAGAACGTGCACACAAGTTTATTTAGTACGACCGACCTCAAGTGCACACTAACAGTTGTATCGCGGACATGAAATTATTTCCTCGCAACGAAGGATTCCAAAATGTTCTGTGGCCACATCATGTGTAGTTTATTAACAAAGTTTAACAGATTTGAATAATATCATCTTAAATGAGAAATGTCTGTCATGAACTACCACCGTCATGATCAGACGAGGTGCAATTCATTCACTTAAAGTACGTGATGTTAAAAACGCCGACACGATTCCTGTGTTGACGGCGAACGCGTAGCAATTAGGTATTAATCAGTATTGATCAGTTGCTCGTTCGATCGGGTCGATATAATGATGTTTACGAACAGACAAGTACCTTCACTGTTAATCTCTGACAGTCTAGCCAGTCAGTCTAGATCGAGTCGCTGGTTTGCATGTGCATTTCTTCACTATGATTGGTCGAAGCTAGGATATTCGATCATTCTACAGCGGCTGACTTTATCCAATGCACAGCCACAGATCAAACACTGTGTTAAAGTTAAAATTGTCTTTATGTCAAAAACAAACAACGCTTCTCGGTTATTCGTACCTTGAAATTCCCAGGGACCAATGGTTACGTCATTTCAACAATACAGTTATCCGGTCAGGTGACAGGCATCCTCCAATACAAATGCCGTAATTTGTGTAGAGTTCGTGTATGCATTCTAATAATTATTTGTAAAAAAAACCAACAACAATTATGTCAGAAGTGTACGCAAATTGTATCAATTTCTGATGCATATGTATTTTCATATGTGTATATTGTAAGGAGTGTGAATAATTGCTCAAATGAATATTATCCATTTCTCCTCAAACGAATTAATCACAGATCAATTTCAGGGAGTATGTACATTTCCACTGTGCATGCGCATTCTATTCGATATGGTTTATTTACGCCGCTTTGTTTCCATGGCGGTTTGTCTCCATGGCGTGCCGTGGGAAAATGCACTGGAACCACTGGAAATATTCATTTTTCATGATAATGGTATGAATATTATCAGAGTGACTTGACATATTCAAATGTTTTAACAAGCCTTGTTTCTTCGTAAACATAGGAATTGGCAAAGGAAGCACAAGAGGTCGATGTTTCCTCTGATTATGAGCAATGTCCTTGATCTGTACTGTCGTTAGCGTTATCTCCTTGGGTCAGTCATCTTGGATCCTTCTCATATGCAAATGTTATAAAAGCGCTTCCTAGTAAACACTAGAATCAGCCTTTACGGCACTTTCTTTCAAAATATGTACATTTACTTGTTGAAATTCCAAATTCGGTATTGGTTCAAATGAACAAATTCTTAATTTTATGAACACGTAACATTCACAACAATTTCCAAAAGTGTTGCCTATTTCGTAAATTATGTCAGTTCGTTCGTCATTTGGAGGAAATGATCAAGTTCAAAGTTTGCACTTTGGTAAAATCCAGTCTCACACCAATGACCGTGAGACTGGCTAATGGGGCAGTAGGACTCCAGCTGTTCACGTGCTTGATTGGCCTCAAACCATCTGGCTTCCAATGTCCCCAATCCAATGTCTCGAATTATCACGTACTATTATTCATCCATGACTCAAAGCACCATTTCTTAGTTATTCCTGGAGTATGTTATGCGCAAAGTATGTCTGTGTACTCATTCTTCATGTAGTCATAATGCCAAATTGGTATTGTGACGGCAAAGGGCCCACGGATCTTTTCACGGTATCATTGTTCACAAACAATGACATGGTATGGAGTGAGTAACGTAACGCCCAAGTAAAGTGAAACCCACTTCTGATGGAGCGCAACATGTGATAGGCTTAATGAATGGAAGTACTTCAGAGGTTTCACTAATAGTTTCAACTATTTTTGCAGGTGAAAGATGAAAGCCAACTTTGTTTCAAGGTACGCCATGTTGCAGACGCAGATGCAATGGATGTATGGGTTAAGAAGGACGAAGTCTTGACGAAAGTTGTCAAGTCAACAGTGGAAGACAGGGTTTCTTCGTTCGTATCAAAGTGCGTCGTGCAGATAAAGAAAACACTCTGTCTTCAGAACAGAAACAAAAGAGTAGTCCGCATCACGGTTGATGTTGATCAGGACATATACAAGTCTGTGTTTGGACATGTAGGAAGTGACGTCATGGTAAATGGGACTAAGTACACCATTGTCCCGGATAATTCTGAACTAGAACAATACTTTGGGGCAGGATGGAACTTGCGAATGTTAAATAGAAGAGGGGACTTTATGTTTGTCGTTCCCGGTACGTTTAAAGCATGCTTAAAGAGCCATGCCCCTGTGAAAGAGTTCGTACCAAGTTCAGCGGGTCTCATAGAAAAATGGATGTGGCAGGGATTGTTTTGTGAGCTTGTCTTTGTTCCAGAATTTGGCACAGGGCCGGATTATTTTCACCTCATGTGGTACTCTTTGGACACCTTGGTATAATGCACGAAGATCTATAGCTCGTAGTGAAAATTCACTTTGAATGTTCCTTTGGCACCAACGTGTCTACCCATAACGAAATGAATGGCATTTTGCTACATGTACCGATGTGCAATCAAGTCTGAACAACATCGTCTCCTGGGCCTTTATTCTCGAAACGTTCGTAGCCCTAAGAGCTCTTAACTTTGATCGTAGCCAATGTGTTAAGAATGGGCTTAAGAAGTTCGTAGGACTCAGAACGTTTCGAGAATAGCTAGCCTGGTTCATAAAACTATATCCTGTATATGTGGGTGCAGTTTGTCACAAACCAAACAACTGTTGTGCAACAGTCGAATGAAAATCTAATATCTTCGATATACTACATTACAACAGTAACAGTGCTTTACTCTCAGTAACACTCTTTGAGCATATTCGTATAAACATTATAGCAATTACTGTATGGTTGTAAGGCATGTATCGGGGTATATTTCGGACATGTAAGAATGCTAAATTCTACTTTCTTTAGACATGTACTCAGGACCTTAGTCACTGGCAGTGATTCCATGATCTATAACCATAACCTCCAACATTTCACTGGAATGGCGTTGCCTACTGTCGCTTTCACCGAATTTCGTGTGATGTCGTACAGAGACATTGTGATTATAAGTAATTACAGACCAGTCACGTGTCATAAAATTCGTTCCTTCCTTCCTTCCTTCATTTATAGCCATAAACTATGTGTATTGCAGTCAACCTGTTAACTAAATACATTTTGCTTCAAAATCAGATCGTTTACATTGTGTATTGGTTTCCGCGTTTAAAGTTTCAAAATATTTGGTTCATTTGCTTCATTTCAATTGTGCTTCTCGTAAGAGGCGACTAACGGGATCGGGTGGTCAGGCTCGCTGGCTTGGTTGACACATGTCATCGGTTCACAATTGCGTAGATCGATGCTCATACTGTTGATCACTGGATTGTCTTGTCCAGACTCGATTATTTACAGACCGCCGCCATATATTGCTCAGTGCGGCGTAAAAATAAACTCACTCAATCACTAACTCATTTCCATTGATCTTTTACGTAAGTGGATATTTGCAGAACTGGTTGGATAGATACATTCAGGTAGTCAAGTAGGTAGGTATAGACATAGGTAGATATAGGTAGATGGTACATAGAAAAGGAGATATATTGTAAGTACAATGTCGCATCGTTATGATAAAAGGCTATTAAAGATGTTTCCTCATTGTCATTGTTTTACATACAAGAAGCGTTATGTTAACACATCATTTGTATTCAGTGTTCATAGTTCATTCTGTTGTCAAGTCACTAAGTACAAAAGACAAAGATGTAATCAACGTTCCAGAGACTAGAGAATGTTCTTACATCCTATATTAATCAATAACAGACTCAACAAAATGATCTCTTTGTTCTTGAGTAGTTTACAATGCATAAATACAATCATGCTTGATTGCATCATATACAAATGTGCCGCATACATATTCCTTCGCTCGTATACCGTAAGCACTTGGACAAAGAAATAAACTCAAATGCATAAGTGATCCGTTTTTCAGTCGTTATTAAGGACCGTAACCTGTGTAGCCGTATAAGAGATCGCCTTATTATGTTTTCTCTTCACTAAGGCTCTGTGATTTGTTTACTAGTCAAAAGGGTGACATTTCATTATTTATTATCTATTTTTCTTCAAGTTATCGAGTTGGTACTGAACAAGTAAGTCAGTGCAAGAGACCTGTAAATGCAAGCATAGCTTTCTTATTACATAGTCTTCCAAGGAATACAATAGCTGGTGAATCAATGTACGCCTGAAGAGACATTAAACAAGTTCAAGTAACTGCGACAGCAGCGTGTGGACAATGGCTTACATCGTTTTACGGCAAATATTCCTGGAATGACAATTTACATCAGATATTTTAAATGAATATTAATCAACACGGTTTCACTTCCTTTCATGCGAACAGCATGGATAGGATTCAGACAGGCAAATTATGCACGATGACTATAATTTGTATTGAATAACCACAGATTTGTCACATATCTTTGGGGTAGGGTCGGGTTGCTGTTGTGGTTAATTTAAAGCAAATCAATACAAGCCATATTTTCCTTTTCAGAAGGTATTGATACCAACATATACCAATATAAACATATTAGCATACAGAAATGCATAGATTCCCAAACAAGCATCATATATCATATGCCATCTATTAAAAGCATCCTATTTCATATGTCATCTATTAGCATTAAGTAGACAGTGCAGTACGTCAGTTTAAGGATATAGTCTGTCGATGGAATTCCATGTATACTTACCTATGGAAAAGACAAACCATGCCTTGACTCATCCACCGAATGCAACTAATCTATTTGGTATAGAACGTGATTGTAAACAGCCATACCGGTAGGACCTTGACAAACACTTTGTTTAACATGACAGATTACACATTGAGGTCAATCAGCCTCAGCTTACACCTGCCTGGCTTGAGGTATACACTGTGCGTTACGGTCTCCTTAATTTTCCATTACTACCAAAACTATTCAGTTTGAAAGACTATGAAAGAATTACTCGTTGAACAAAGCGCAATAAATGAGATTGCCTTTCTTAATAATTAGCTAAGTAATAGTAAGGTAGGTAGGCAGGCAGGCAGGTCGGTCGGGATACACGGTCACATCTTACGGTCATGAACGTTGTTCTACTGGGCCGTAGTGATTAACGTAGTAACGTAGTAAACCGTAGCTACCACGATGTACTACGGTCAACACAACGGTGCAGTAAGGTCAACTACGGTCTTCTAGGGAGAACTAGGGTCAACCACGCTGAAGTTCTCTCTCTCTCCCACTACGATGGTCTACGTTGAACTACGTCTCAATACGTCAAACTACGTTTAACTAACTTTAAAGGTAAAATACGGGTTTACTACCGTCTACTACCTTCATCCTCCACTTAGGTCAACTACGTTTAACTAACTTTGAAGGTAAAATACGGGTTTACTACCGTCTACTACCTTCATCCTCCACTTAGGTCAACTATGTGCGTGTCCGTAAGATGTGACCGCCGCATTAAGCACCCCTTGGTACGTATTAGACACAATGAAGGTTTCCCATACTGAAACGTTGCTACGAACACCTTGATGACCTCTAACTTATTGTCACCAGCGGAGCTTTCAGTATCTCTGTTGTATCTGTGTGATTGATCATGCCTCTGATACATTAAGCTCAGTGCAGTGTGTGAGTGTACCAGTCAACCCCAACGTCATCTTAGACTTTTACTATTATTGTTTCATTGACAGTGTTATAGCGCCAACGACAACAAACATCTCATATTCAACAGAAGGTCGTCAAGTTCAGAACAAAAGTGGCATGACAAGGTATAGGACGTTATTGCAGCGTACTAACTGATGTACCTTCTGATTCTGAAGGTCACAAACAATTCCCTATGGTGTAAGGTATATATATCGGATTTATCGTTGAAAGGGAATGTGTGTACATGTAGGTAGTTAAAAGGGCCCAGTTAGACTCAACAGTTGAATGATGAGTACAGAAAAGTAAGTCAAAACAAACTCCCTTCGTGAGTACGTGCCCTGCTGATTAATGACGTCATTAAGCCGTTCAAGGCTTATTCTGATTACTTAATTGTACATCTTTAACCGATTAAATGGGACTGATATACCTGAGTGGGATTATGACCCACATAAAAACCAAGAAACGCATGTGCTGTTGTAATAGTTTAAGTGAAAATATATGAATAGATAACTGTGTATGTCAAACTAAGTCCATTAATGCTTCCTCAACAATGAAATGTCAGTGTCACTTGAGTTAATAGTCGCCATTATCATTGTTGGGGATCTGATGGTAGTGATGTTATCAGGTAATATGAACCGATCCTTGTATTGATTCAGAAGTACACAAACCACATGTGCAGTCAACGAGGATATGGTATTTGAGCTACGTCACAGCATGTCACCTTGACGTGGGAGGAAAGACGGGTTGACGCAGCTCATTCACATTTATTGCTAAAAGTCAAACGATCATAATCGGAACGAGTCTGGGGTTTAAACGTGATCTTTGTGCGGTAAAATGACAGAGTCCTTCACGCCTAGGCTCGATGTTTTAAAGGTTGGTTTGTTTAATGTTCATCGCTACATTCGTTGTATGGCGGCGGTTTGTAAATAATCGAGTCTGAACCAGACAATCCAATGAGCATCGTCCTCTTTTACGACAAGCATTGTACTATACTAAAGTCCTATTCTAAAACGGGTCTTCACGGGTTGCATTAAAAGAATGACCCATGCCACCTACGTTGCGAGACTGACCGGGGTCGGATTTCACCATGTCAATTACGTAGATTGGGGCTCTTGATGATAATCACTTGATTGTTTGGTCCAGACCGTGTTATATAGTGGAGTATCCCTGACTGAGGCGTTAAACAACAAGCAAACATCGGAATGCACAGACACAGTGCTGTCGTCTATGGTTCCTGAAACTGTCTTCCAGTTGTTCCTGTTCTTCTATGACGGATACGTAAATCTAATGTACACAAAGTGTCAAATCTCAGATGAACCGAACAGCCTTTCCGCTCCATATGTTTCAAAGTGGAAATGGACAGAAGATTGACATATGTCTGAGATCAATTATAAATGACGCACTAGATACCCCCCTGTCTCCGCGGGCATGCAGCAAAGTATTGCACGGTGACACTGTAGTACCTCTTTTGAAATTGAGCGAGAAATTGTGAGTCGAAGCGACACGCTTCGTGGTCACAGACGTTATTAACCGAAGAACCATTTGACTTACTGACTTAATGAAACCATTTTCATTTTTTCCAAACCATTGAAACATGTTTACGAATGCTCAATGTTTGATCAAGTGAATCTCAAAGGATTTTAGTCTTAAATGGATGAAGGTTTACAATTACAAAGAACTTTGTACGCTTGCCTTGTGTCTGTCTTCACTTGAAACCCTCTTTAATCATGAATACAAGTATGTAATGGTTGACAGGCAGCGGAAAAGTCACACCGTCACATGCCATCTTCAGGAATATACGTTCTGACTCAATAATCTCCTCTTAAATGTAACATCGTCATTTTATTTCTTGAATTCAACCACATTTCATTAATATGTTAATCACGGGACACACCGCAGAAATATGTGGTGCATGAAACCTTAATAATAATAATAATAATAATGGATGGCATATATATAGCGCTAATC